GAAATTTATTATCTTTCCCACAGAGGAGCTTTTCAAAGATAATTACAAAAGAAATGCAATAATTTACATAAATATAAAAATATATACATATATATATATATATATATATACAGGAATATAAGTACCTAATTACTATTTTATGGACATACACATTACTATAATGAGTTTAAAGGTTTAAAAGTTTAAATAGCTAAGAAGTCGCTGAGAAGTTTGTTTCGAAGGCTTCTCTTAAAACTTACAACATTTGGACAAAGTTTAAACTTAGACTCCAGAGAGTTCCACAAGCTTACAATTCTGTCATAAAAAGTCCTTTGGCCAGTGGCACTTTTAAATAGTGGAATGTTCAATTTCTGTGAACTTCTCGTGGATCGCTGGCTAATGTCTCCACGCTTTACAAATTGTTCGGATAAATAATCTGGAGCACAACCAGTCATGCATTTAAATGCCAAAATGGCGTTTCTCAAATACAACTCGCTAGCTACTGGCAGCCATTTCAATTCCTTTAGTGCTGGTGTGACATGGTCAAATTTCCTTATACCACAAACTATTCTGCAAGCGAAATTCTGAATTAACTGCAGTTTCTCAATGTTGCACTTTGAGGTGTTACTCCATACATTGGAACAATAATAAAGTCTGCTGAAAACCAAACTGTTCATGATAGTAATCAGAGTACGTTTGTCGAAGGCATGCTTCACACGATTAATTTGACCCAGTATGGACATACACGTGGAGACGGTCTTATTAATATGGGGGTTGTAGGTTAAATTAACATCCAGAGTCACGCCAAGGTCCTTTGCCATTTCGATAGGGTTTATTTCTTTTCCCAATAGTGTCAGGGAAAAGTCTTGTAGTCTAGATAGCATTTGTCTGCTCCCAAACACCAATAACTTGGTCTTTTCAGGGTTCAGAAGCAGGCAATTGCTAAAACACCAATTTCGGACTTTAGTCAAATCCTCGTTAATATTCTCTATAGCGAAAGATTTACTCTGAGCTTTAAAGGAGTGCAGTAGACCTGTGTCGTCTACGTAGCAATGTGGATCACAGTTTTGAGGTGCAGTTGAGAGGTCGTTGACATAGATGTTAAAAAGTAAAGGCCCAAGGATACTTCCCTGCGGCACGCCGTTCGTCAAAGGCAAGGCATCCGATACTGTACTGTTTATTCGTACAACCTGCTGTCTGTTGGAGAGATAACTACTGAACCATTGTAAACACGATTGTGAACCACCCATATCTTGTAACTTTGACATCAAAAGATTATGATTAACACAGTCAAATGCTTTGCTCATATCCAATAAGACCAGAGATGTAACTTTCTTTTGGTCTATAGCATTTAGTATGGAGTCTGTGATATTAATTAACAAAGTTTCGGTCGAGAATCCACGTTTGTTACCACTTTGCTTACTTGAAAGCCGCTTTTTCAACGTAAGATATTCTACAAATTGATTATAGGCAACCCTTTCGCAAACCTTTGATAAAACAGGTAATAATGATATTGGTCTGTTATTATTCGCCACTTCCGGGTGATCCTTTCCCTTTGGAATTGGTGCAACTTCGGCAATTTTCCAAACTATAGGATAGGCTGACGTAGTTAGTGAAGTGTTAATAATTGATGTTATTACTGGTAAAATGGGCACAATGCAATCCTTAATCACTCGAATGGGAATTTTGTCACCGCCCGGTGCTTTGTTGTTAGGCATTGAAGATATTATACTTCCTACTATGGCTGGCTCGACCTCTTTAAATGAAAATTGTTCCGTTAAAGGGTATTGTCTTGGTGTAAAACGGTCGCGGTCGCAATCAAACCCAAATTCGTTTGCCAAATCATTGATTTTATGAACCGCATTATTGCCGACAGAAGCAAAGAAATTGTTAAACTCTTCTGCTACGGTTTTTTCATCTTGACTGAAAATTCTTTGCGAAGACGATTTTTTAGGAATGCATAAGCGGATAGATTTCCAGATATTATTAGAATTACCTGGATCTTTCTCTATCTGGTTTAATACAAATTCACGCTCGGCTAGTTTAATTTCACGCTTAACTTCTCCACGAAAATTTCTGTACGCAGACCACGCCAAGGGATCATTTGACCTTTGGGCAAGTTTGCGCCAGTGATCTCTTGTTTTCATCAATGCACGAATGTTTTCATTAACGCAAGGATTTGGTTTCCCTTTTACCTTGATGGATTTTATTGGAGCATGTTGATTTAATATATCATTAAACATAGTGTTGAAGGCATTTACTTTATCATCAATGTCAGTAAATACATCTATAACAGACCACGGAGCTTGCGATATATCATTATAGAAAGCTTCTCGATTGTAATGTTTAAAGCTTCTAATGTTTACATAAACCGGTTTTGTACGAGGCTTTTTTAATCGAAGTGTTAAATAAACCAAGTCGTGGTCACTGACCGAGCTGTGCTTGACAAAGGATTCTCTTACTTGTTTAATATCAGATACAAGGATAATATCCAAAAGCGAACTAGTTTGTTCAGTAACTCGCGTAGGTTCCCTAATCAACTGTGTTAGATTGTATGATGAACAAAAATTTCCAAGGACTTTGCAGTCAGAAGCTTCGGGTTTCAGAAGATTACAATTTAAGTCACCCAGTATGTAAATAGGTGCGCATAAAGATGAAGCATAAACAAAATTTGCTGCAAGATCTGAGTCGAAACATGATGTCGGTGTATTAGGAGGTCGATAGACAGTACTTATTATGATGGATTTTAAGTGCCTGACCTGTACCTTCAACCAAAGTTGATGAAAACCTGACGCAGAAATCGACGAGATGTCTCTTAGGCAAATTGTTTTGTAGATTTGACGTACATAAATACACACACCGCCGCCGGTTTTATTTTCTCGATCAACACGATAAATATTATAGCCAGGTATTTCAATTTCTAAATCGGTAATTTTGCTGTCGAGCCACGTCTCAGATACAGTAAAAACATCGAATTTATTCGACAAGATCGTTTCTTTGATAAGTAAATAATGATGTCGATTTTTAAAGAGCGAGCATTGAGATGAGCTATCTTTAAATCTGTTGAATTCTTCTGCTGGTTAACAGAATAATTGTCCGGTCCAGGGTTAGTTTCAACGTCGTGAATAAGTTTAATTACTTGCCTAAACGATGCTGTAGAGTTATTGTAATAGGGGGCGACTGCATTTGACATCTTCTCTCTTGAATAGCCCGTCAAGTTGAAACGCCGCTTCGGAATAACGCCTTCGAGATGAATCACCTGATAATAGCATTTTGAGTTCCAATCCTGGCACAATAAAGTAATCTGATCTTCGTGCCGCGTCCAACAATCAAAACCTTGATCAATAATACCAGTAGAATAGGTAATAGCGAAAGACAAAGTCATAAAAATTGAAAATAATCGAGAGCAATCTATAGTATGACCGCGTGTCAGAGTCTACTCGGTCAGTACTTCTAAGTCTACTTTTAATCGCAATTAATCATCAAGAGAATTACCAGCGAATTACTTGCAAGAAATCGCCGCATAACTGATAAAAAGGCAATGTGAACGATGTTCACCTAACTGTTTTTGCTGAGAAAATGATCAAAAAATCGTTTATTCCACATTTGGTACGTTTTACGATCGATCACGACGATTTCCAGGCCCCTCTGAGCACTTCGGGCCCTGGGTGTTTTGACCCCCTCCCCCTCTTGTCGGCCTTGAATGTAAGCTGGAAAGTAAAAAAGAATTAAAGTTTGCATCCAGGAATTTAACATGCCAATTTTTAATACTGACTGCAAGGAATGTAAGCTGGACTTGCTCGTGAGTACTGCCCCTTAGTTTGAATCTACTATCAAGACTGCATTCATATGAATGTAAGACTACTACTCCAACAACATCACACATAGCTTCCTTGTATAGCTTCCTTGTGCTCATTCACGGGCAGATTTACGGGAGGAGGGGTGTTAAACCCCTCCTAGAACCCCTGTAACCCATTTTGTGTGAAAGTCTCTAACGTCTAACGGACTAACCCCTGCCAAAACTTGGTCAGTGGTGCCGCGTGCACACCACTAGAAATTTTACCACCACCTCCCCCCCTTTTTAAAGAATGAAAATCCACCCTTGGACCCACTGTTACCTCATGAAAACAAAAGATAAACCAAGCTACAGTATGAAAATATTATTGGCAACTATAATCCCTCCAGATACAGGTATAACTATTAACAATACCGTTTCGGTAATTTGTACTTCTTCTTCCTCCTCTGCTGCATTGTTTATAGGCTGAATCCCTTCTTCCAGTTCAGGCTCTTCATCTTCAATGTTCAGAGTCTACATAATTTTACAAAGTATTTATTCCAGTTATTATTTTGTTTACTGTAACTCTTCTTGAAGGGGAGGTTATTGAAAATTGGTAATATGCCACACATAGATTTTTTCTGGACTTTTTGGGGGTTTTTGGTTGAATGAACACAAAAACTCTGTATTGAATTGTGTTTTGAAAATCAATCATCGAAAGTTTAAGTGCAGTCAAATTGTGACATTGAACTAAATTTTCCCATGAAAAAACAAATACGTACACAGCACGGAATTCATTTCAATTTGTTTCACAATACAGAAATGCATAATAATAACTGTTTAACAAAACCAACGATTCAGTTGGTTTAAGTATAATGGTAAAAACTTACACTGGATGAAATTGCTGACGGCAAAGATGTATTGGCCATGATATAGAGACTACCTTGCCCTGCCAAAGAAGCAACCTCTTGTCCATTCCATGAGAAGCTACTACTCACAGATGGTCTCTTTAACTTCTTCATGCCCGTCATGACACACAAATAGTCATAATCCAACAACTGATTTGGATTCAACATGAACACACTTGCAAATACAGATGTGACCTCCTCTCTAACCTATAATTGAGATAACAAGAAAATTGTGTGCACAGTATATTACACATTTTAACCTTGAAATTTAGATACAGATGAGCAGTAAATTGTATGTTGTGCTCGGGGGGGGGGGATTTGCACCCTTTCTCAGCAGCACTGACATTACGTACTGTAGTACATGTATACTACCTTTCAGTTAACTAGTTATATGATCAGTTCACAAGTTGGGCTTAAGATAAGTAAACTTGATTTCTACTCTGATGTTAAAAAACAGTTCAACCTCTTAACCCATTAAGCCCTTCCCTTGTGTTGGACAACGTAAAATAATAAAGTAATGCGCATCAGGGCACAATGCATCTCAATGGGTTAAAATCTAAATGAAGTAATTTAAAACTTAACAGATAATCTGCTAATTCTCGCATCTAGTCGCATGATAACGACATTTTACCTGCATATCATTCCATGTGGACATTATTCTGATTTTGCCAATGAGGC